TTTTATGTTTTATCCATTAAAAATAGAGCAATTCCCATCCCATCCAAACCCATATTTGGATGAAGCGAAAATTAAAGAGGAAAAAAATACCAGAAGGAAAAACCCTCATTTTTTAAAGTTTTTCTTCCTAATATATCTTCTCTCTGTATTTTTCTCCCACCTTTCTCTCCATTCAAACATGACGTTAAAAGAACTTAACGTCGTCTCTGTAACTGGGATCTCCAGTCCGAAAATTCATTGCCGGACCAGAACGAGAATCTTCATCCAAGAATGTAGAGTAAGAGGCAATGAAGAGGATTTTTATCGGGTTAGATTGGCAGTCGTTTCAATGGCGTAGCAGCAGCAGCAACTCGGTTACAGAATTTCATGGAATATCAGCTCCCCCAGGAAGACAAATTGGGAGGGCCCAAGAAATTTCAAACTGAACCAAATACCAATAATTTGAGTAGAATAAAAAAAAAACTAGTTAAGTTAATTATTTGAAATAAATACGTACTGTCTCTTCTAAAACAAATGTATTGATTAGAACAATTATTATGACAAAAACTATCTTAAGAAAAAAAAATAAACATAAGAGAAAAATTTAATTGCTAGCTTATATTTAGAAACAAAATAAAAAGCAAACAAGCTTTTATATTAAGAATAAGAGATAACATTCTAATACAATCCATGAAAAATGCTACCTTCGATCTTAAATATAAGAGCTAATTGACTAATTTGAATAGTTTAGGAAAATAAGTTAAATTAATTATGTGTAATAAATAGATGTTATTTTTCCTAAAATATCATTACTAATCAAGTGTATTGGCTGCAAGTCCTGCAACTACTATTTTTAAAAAGACTATCTTAAAAAAATGTATAAATATGAGAAACAAAATAAATTCAGATCTTATATTTATAATCAAAATAAAAATTAAACAAAATCTTATATTAAAGATCGGAAGTAGTATTTAAAGTTCGATGCTCAAGAGGAAAAGTCAAAATCACTGCGTTTGAAGAATCCGCCATGAGAAAAACGGCATAATCGCCGCGGAAGCACAGTATACCAACAAATTGACAAAAGAGCACCATAACAAGTTTGACACGCCAATTTGAGAGAGGCGACTGGAAGTGACGGCCATACATAGTGAGTAAGCAGGAGAGGAACAAAGAGGGCTTGTTTATAATTATGATTTATAAAATATAAGATAATTACGTGAGAAAACTCAACATGCATAAAACATGCGTATAAACACTTAAATCAAACGATCCAAATGATGCCTCATCATTCCTTGAACTAAATATCTTATTATTCTTATTACATGCCGGTCATTTTTGTTTGTTGTTGTTCAACTTGCAAAAGACTACTTACAAATATGGGAGAAGATCAGGCTGCATATAGGGTTAGAAAATGTAAGGGGCAAGATTGTCAATACATTGCGTGATTATTAAATGCTGAAAAGTATACGCTTCCATGGAATTTCGACCACCATCTTGATGAAAATGGTTTTCCTAAATTATTCACTTCCAAGCAAAAAAATTATAAAAAAAAACATTGAAGTTTCCCTTCCATTTTCATTTTCATACCACTAGTTTTAAGATGCCAAACGAGTAAGAGTCTTATACACATTAATTCAATTTCAATCTCCCTTCTTTAAAAAAAAAAAAAACAGAGAGAAAATGAATCTGATATATGATTTTTCTTTTTTATAATTTTATCAATGGCTTGATAAAGTCTCCCAGTTAAAAAATTCTAACATGTCGTTGAACAGTGAACACAATTCTATCGTCAAACATATAATGATGTTAATTAAAATTTTATATGGTGCACACACTATTAACTTAGGAAAAGTATAAAAAAAATGCCTTTGAAATTTCAAAATTTTAAATTAGGAATGACTATAATAATGTGTTGTTATTTGTTTTTTAAATATTGTCAATTGTTATTAAAGTGTAGTAAGACTGATTTAGAATTTTGAAATTCAAAGATTTTTTTTAGATTCTCCTATTAATTTACTCACTTGTATTTTTTTTTTTGGATAAAGGAGCGATTTTATTCTTGATTTTATTTTTCAAGTCTGCTCAACACCCTATGTTTTTTGTAACACTTCACATAATTATATCCACGTATGCGATAAAATACTTCATTTACAAACCCATATGTATTTCTAATACTTCATCTGGTCATAATTTCAAAATATTGCTAGCATAACTTAACAAAATAAACTATTAAAGTCTTAGTCATGGCAAATAAAAATATAATATAGCTTGTGTTTGAGGAGCACAAAAACCTTTACGGCTCACTCTGTTAGTTCCTTTCCTTGATTTCTATTAGATCCTTCACTTGAAAATGTTAATATAAAGAATGAGATCAAACATCTCAGTAATTGTTGAAATTCTAACATATTGAAGCAAACCATATCTAATAAACAAAAATTTGTTTATGTGTGTGTGTGAAAATCATGAATTTGATACATTCAACTCAATTTCATTTTTTATTCAACAATATCCTAACATCATTTTTTCAATATATCCAAAAAAAATAATACAATATGCAGTCTTCTTTATATCGCCGTCCACTCTTATATCGCTGAATATTTTTATTTTTAATTTTTTACCTAAAAAGAGTAGTAATCAATGGATGTCATGAATCGTGAATCGCGTGAAGCTGGCCAGCCGAACTCGGGCAGCCTCCTTTTTTGACCGGATCACTGTAGTAAAAATAATAGAGAAATAATACTGTTTAATATAGAATCTAATTGTTAAATTGATTTTGATCTTAAATATAAGATCTATTTATCATATTTATCAATTTTCTCTAAATTATCTTTATAGATACTCCCTCAACTATAATCAAGTAAAAAAAAAAAAGATGAGGTATTAAGAAAGATGATTATGGTATTTTAAGAAAAATGTGTCACATTTTTTATAAAGAATTAACTTACCTTACTTCCTTAATCTAATCAAATTAGTTAAATAGATCTTATATTAAGGACTGAAAGAGTACTTCAGTTTGAAAATATCTAAATAACTTTTATTTTAGTTGTATATGACTAATTAGAGATTTTTAAATTTATTACAATTACCATATTGCCCTGAATAATTTTAAAAGAAAAAAAGAGAAGCATGCATAGGTTATACCACCTCCTTTAACGTGGTTAATAAGTTTTTATAACATTATTAATAATTTTCTTATCACTTTTAACACCAAGTTTTTCAGGAAATTAAAAAAAATAACACTTTATAATTTTACTAACACTGTTAACAAGTTATATAATGATATTAATAATTTGTATAATGTCATTAATCATGTGATTTAAGAGTTTTTTCTGCTTAAAGAGATTAGTTATGACATCATAAATGAAAAATTTTTACAATTCATGTAACAGGATTGACAAATTCTTTGATACTACTAACAATTCTGTTATTGCTTTTGACAATAGGTTTTTTTAGGGAATTAAAAAAGTGTTCCTTTTACAGCTCCAGTAACATTATTAACAAGTCATGTAACGATATTAATTCATGTAATGCTATTAACCACATGATTTTAGAGCTTTTTACACTTTGAGAGATTAGTCATAGCATCAGAAATGAACAATTTTAAAATTTCTGTTGAGCCGTTAACAAGTTTTTTAACTCTATTAGCAAGTTTATTATCGCTTTTAACAACAGACTTTGCAAGAAATTAAAAAAGTTTTATTTTTACAACCTCAGTAACGTTGTTAACAAGTCGTATAATAATGTTAACAATTCACGTGATGTCATTAACCATGTCATCTAAGAGTTTCTTACCCGTGAAAAGATTGATCATGACATCATAAATGAAAAATTTTACAACACTTGTAATACAATTAACAAATTGTTTAACGTTATTAACAAGTTTGTTATCACCTTTAATGACATGTTTTTCATGAAATTAAAAAAAATGGTACTTTTACGACTTCAGCAACATATTATTAAAGGTGATAATAAACTTGTTAATAACATTAAAGAACTTATTAACTACGCTAAATAAGTTGTTAACCTATACACCTCCTTCTCCTTCTTTCTTTGAAAAATTACTCAGGTTAATATGGTTATTTTAATAAATTTAAAAATTCTTAATTACTCATATATGATTAAAAAATTTTATTACTCAGGTGACTATATGGAAACTTTTAAATTTAAATATCATTTTTTTGTCATTTTCTCATCACTACAATCCAAAACTGAGTTTCCCCTTTTTTTAAAAAAAAATTAAATTTTCCATTTCTATTAAAATACGAGGGTCAGGTTCTTTACATATGTTAAATTTTTTATTAAATGTGATTAGATAACTTAATATAATAAATATAAGGTATTTAATGTAAGTAACTTATGAATTTTACTCTTACTTAATATATATTTTAAAAATATCAATTTATATAATAATAAATAAAAAGTGAAGTTACATATTACTTCTGATTCAAATTCTAAAATCTTATTTATAGTTTAAAAATAAAATTTTATAATTAGGATGAAATAGTTTTTACCTAGAAAGTTCAACAACATGCCTTGTAAATGGGGAAAAGACGGTCCCCCCCTTGAAAAGTACATGAGAAGTACCGGTTCAGAGCACTCAGCACTGCTCATCACCAGCATTAATTAATTATTTTTTAAATGCCAAGCGAATCAAAATGTGCCTGGGCTTCGTTGCATGATTATAGTGTGCTTGTAGCCGTGCCATGCAACCGAAATCATTCAGCATGAGTAGTTTATATTTAAAATTTTTAATTTAAAATTTTCTATGGTAAGTTTATTTTTAAAATTTTTTAATTATAATATTATTTTTATATTAAATTCAGTACCAATTAAAATAAAAAATTATTTAAAATCTTTTTAAAAATTAAATTAAATTTGGAAAATTTAAAATCAATCTGGGTGGTTTCCACTATTAGCTCAGAGAGTAGGTCCTCGTCAAATTCCACTGTTAGCTCATTATTATATACCTCGTGATCGAAGAGAAAAATATCATCAACAACATGTTCTATGCGGCCATAGAAATGCCCACCATGTTATTGCTCATATTATCTTTTATCAGTTTTATGTTCCTTCTGCACAAAGTCTTCTCCGATCTGAAACAAAAAAAGAACGATCAGAAACGACCACCAGGTCCGCTGGCTCTGCCGGTCATCGGAAACCTCCACATGTTGGGTTCACTTCCTCACCGGACCCTTCAATCATTAGCCAAGCGATATGGTCCGATCATGTCGTTGCGGCTGGGGCAAGTCCCGGTGGTTGTAGTCTCCTCACCTGAAGCAGCCGAGCTGTTCCTAAAGACCCACGACTTAACATTCGCGAGCCGACCTAAGAGTCAGTTTTCCGAGTTCATCTTCTACGGCACCGCCGGTATGGTGACGAGTGAGTATGGCCCGTACTGGCGCCACATGAGGAAGCTGTGTATTCTGCAACTTCTTAGCTCGTCAAAGGTTCAGTCGTTCAGTCCTTTACGGAGGAAGGAGTTGGGATTAGTAGTTACGTCGTTAAGGAAGGCCGCGGCGGCGCGTGAAGTTGTTAACCTGAGCGAGGCGGTGAAGAAACTTATAGAAGATGTAACGTACATGATGGTTCTGGGGCGCAACACAGATGACCAGTATGATTTGAAAGCACTTGCTCAAGAGATCATGTGCCTGGGCGGGACATTTAATCTTGCAGATTTTGTCCCTTGGCTAGGAGCTTTTGATATCCAGGTATTAAACAAAACTAAATACATATTATTTAGGGTTCTAATGCCGTGGTGTCTAACGTTTTTTTTAGGCACCGTTTGGATACACTTGCAAACCATGATTTGCACAAAATGCTATCCAAACACCTCCTTCAAAAACCAAAACCATGGTTTTGAAAAAAGAAAAAAATTTTTGTTTTTGGAGAAAAAAGGGAGAGTGTTAGAGTTTATAGGATATGTATCTTGTTATTTTTTTTATAAACATATTTTTTTATAAACATATTTAATTTTATATTTTATAAATATATATACATATTAATTATTTATTAATTATATTATCGTATGTATTAATAATTATGTTAATAAAAATATATTATTAATAATTTTATTCCTTTAAATTAAAATATATCATAAAACCTATTTTTTCTGTAATTATCATATTAACTTATTTCTTTTTTTTAGTAATTTGTATATATAAAAAGTGCTTTTGATAACAACTATCCAAACACTCTCACTTCTCAAAATCACTTTTTCATAAAATTTATTCTTTCCAGAATCTATTCTTCCCAGAATCTATTTTCCAGAATCACTTTTCCAAACCACGGTTTGGTTTCATCCAAACACACTCTTAATGTCTAATCGAAAACTCGTTTGAAATGATTTAAAACAGTTTTACACTCACGATTTACAATTGGAGAAATTTTATGTTAGCATACGTAAAACGTACTTGGTCGTGTTGATTATCATGATTCCAAACGGGCCCTAAATTTTTTTGGAAAAATTGTAATAAAGTCTAACATAAGAGAATTAAATATAAAAAATCCCGTAAAATCATCAAATTATTCTGAAATATCAAAGGATCTCATTGTAAGAAATTCTGATCTGTTTGTTTAATTACCAAATTATCCTTATTATTATTTTTTAAAGTATTCATTAAAGTGCAATTATTAATAATTTAAGGTGTAACAATTAACAATTATTGCAGTAGCTATGAACAACACTCATGTATTATATTTTTGTGATGCGCTGAGAAAATGTGTTGTTATTATCTGTTGTGCTAGTTTTTAATTGTTACATCTTAAGTTATTAACGACTACCCTTTCAGTTGTCAATACATACTTAAAAAAATAAGGGGAAGTTAGTAATTAAACAAATAAAATCTTTTGCAATGAAGTCTCTTGAGATTTCAAAATAATTTGATGATTTCAATAGATTTTTTTGTACTTAATTCTATTGGGTGGGACGTCATTGCAATTTTTCCAATTTTTTGTTGTTGATGATTAGTGATATTTTGATATAAAATGATGTAGTTTTAAATTTTTCTACGTTTGTTCATAGAAAAGCAATTTTAAAGTACACCATTTAAAATTATTGATATTTTAAAGTATTTTTATGTGAAAAATAGTAAAAAATTTAAAACTACACCTTTTTATATCCGTAAGATATCAAAATATCACTACTTTTATGTAGGATGTAATGATAAATAGAAACAAGAAAAAGAACATTTGAACAGTTGAGCATTACAAGAGACATTAGAGAGCCATTACCATTGTTAATTAACAATAGAATTCATGGTGGGTTTTTCTTGAAAAAAAGATAGAAAAATGACATATTAATTTCATAATGCTCAAAATATCAGCTCAATTTAAAAAAAAATCCTATTTTGGTCTCAAGAGACCAAATTAAGATTATCATGTTAAATGAAAAGACCAAATTGCCCTTCATTTTATTTATTGTTTTTAAAATACCAAAGTCCTCACTGGCTGGTTGGTCACTAGAGCTCCGGTGACCGGCCGACAATTGGTCATTGGAGCTCTGTCGATAGGAAATAATTTTTTTAAAATTTTTTACCATTTCAGTATAACGATTAATAACTTTTGTAACGCTATTAACAACTTCAGTATAGCAGTTAACAATAGGTTTTCTGAGAAACTCAACAAGCTCTGGTAGCCGGAAACAATTTTCTTGAAAATTTTTACAACTTCAGTATAACGGTTAACAACTTTTGTAACTCTATTAACAACTTCAGTATATCAGTTAACAACAGGTTTTTGGAAAATTCAACAATTGGTCGCCGGAGCTCCGGCGGCAGAAAACAATTTTTTTTGAAAATTTTTACAATTTCAGTATAACAGTTAACAACTTCAATATAGCAGTTAACAACAGGTTTTCTAGGAAATTCAACAAGCTTCGACGACCGGAAATAATTTTTTTTTGAAAATTTTTACAACTTCAGTATAATAGTTAACAACTTTTGTGAAACTATTAACAACTTTAGTATAGCAGTTAACAATAGGTTTTTCGGAAAATTCAACAATTGGTTGCCGGAGCTCTGCAACCGGAAACAATTTTTTTGAAAATTTTTGCAATATTAGTATAACAGTTAACAACTTTTGTAACACCATTAACAACAGGTTTTTCAAGAAATTTAAAAAGTAGCATTTTTACAACTTCAATAACACAGTTAACAAATTGCGTAACTCTATTAATAATTTCTGTATATCATTTAACAATATGTTTTTTTAAAAATTAAAAAAATGACATTTTTACAACTTTAACAACTCTTTTTTTTTTTGAAAATTTTTACAACTTCAGTATAACGGTTAACAACTTTTGTAATGTTATTAACAACTTCAGTATAACAGTTAACAACAAGTTTGCCGAAAAAATTCAAAAAGTAGCATTTTTACAACTTCAGTAATGTTGTTAACAAGTTCCGTAATTCTATTAACAATTTCAGTATAGCATTTAACAACAGGTTTTCTTAAAAATTCAAAAAAAGAGAGGCATTTTTATAACTTTAACAACTATTTTTTTAAAAAATTTTTACAACTTCAGTATAACGGTTAACAACTTTTGTAACTCTATTAACAACTTCGATATAGCAGTTAACAACAGGTTTTTCAGCAAATTCAAAAAGTAACATTTTTACAACTTTAGTAATACCATTAACAAACTCAAAAACTTGTTTTTAACCGCTATACTGAAGTTGTTAATAATGTTACAAAAGTTGTTAACCATTATATTGAAGTTGTAAAAATTTTCAAAAAAAATTGTTTTTCGTTGTCGGAGCTCTGGCCACCAATTGTTGAATTTTCTAAAAAACCTGTTGTTAACTGATATACTAAAGCCGTTACTAGTGTTACAAAAGTTGTTAACTGTTATACTGAAATTGTAAAAATTTTCAAAAAAATTGTTTCCAACCGCCGGAGCTTGTTAAATTTCCTAGAAAACTTCTTATTAACTGCTGTACTGAAATTGTTAATAGTGTTACAAAAGTTGTTAATTGTTATACTGAAGTTGCAAAAATTTTCAAAAAAATTATTTCTGACCGACAAAGTTCCAGTGACCAATTGTCAGTTGGCCACTGGAGCTTTGGTGACTGTCATCACTGGAGCTTCGGTGACTACCACCGTCAGAGCTTCGACGACCGGCCGGTCAGTAGGGGCTTTGGTATTTTAAAAACAATAAATAAAATGAAGGACAATTTGGTCTTTTCATTTAACATGATAATTCCAATTTGGTCTCTTGAGACCAAAATTGGATTTCTTAAATTGAGTAGATGTTTTGGGTATTAAGAAGTTAATATGTCATTTTTCTGTCTTTTTCCTTTTTCCTTGTCTAATTATTTGACTCCTGATTTGGCTAGGGATTAAAACGAAGGTCAAAGAAAACAAGCAAAGCACTTGATGATTTGCTGGAGAAGATAATAAAGGAGCACGAGGAAGAAACTGCTAATGTGCATGAAAACCAAGACTTCATAGACATCTTGCTCTCCCAATTGAACCAGCCCATATCGGATTCCCAAAGCGACCAAAAAATCATTAATCGAACAAACATCAAGGCAGTTGTGGTTGAAATGATTGTTGCAGCACTTGAAACATCTGCGACTGCAATTGAATGGGTCTTCTCAGAACTCTTCAAACATCCAAGAGTGATGAAAAATCTTCAAGATGAGATAAAAAGTATAGTTGGAATGAGCAGAAAGGTTGAGGAAATAGACTTACTGAAATTTAATTACTTGGATTTGGTGGTGAAGGAGACTTTCAGGCTGTACCCTGCAGGACCGCTATTACTTCCTCGAGAATCAAGGGATGATATCATAATTGGTGGATATCACATTGAGAAAAAATCAAGGGTTCTTATAAATGCATGGGCCATAGGAAGAGATTCCAACGTGTGGTCAAATAATGCTGAAACATTTTACCCAGAAAGGTTTATGAACAGTGGCATAGAGCTTCAAGGGCAAGATTATGAGTTGATACCATTTGGTTCTGGTCGAAGAGGTTGTCCAGGGATTCAGTTGGGTCTCAGGACAGTGAAACTGGTTATAGCTCAATTGGCGCATTGTTTTAATTGGGAGCTTCCTTCTGGTATGAGTCCTACAAATGTGGACATGAGTGAGGAGTTTGGACTCTCAATAACAAGAGCCAACCACCTACTAGCAATTCCAAGTTGTCGCCTGTCTAGTGAAGCATTTGAAGAATAAACCAATCTGGAAAATACGCATAATTTATATGTTTAAGTATTAGAGATAATTTTATGTGAAATACTATGGAGCACTAAATATTAGTACTTCTCCTAGTGAGAATTCAAATATTAGTTTGAGAGATTAGCTCTTTCTACTGGATCAATCTTGATTATTAGTTAGACGCTTGAGTGTGGATGTATTATGAGACGTCTCGCCTATTCCAATATTTCAATATAGCATATATATAATTATATATACATTTAATATCTCTCTCTTTTCTTCCCCTGTTGAAACATCGACGAAAAGAAAACTTCAGTAAAACGCCAATATGCATGTGTACTGTTTACATACTAAAAATAAAAGTTTCTGAAGAGTGTGAAAACCACGAATGATGACATTATAAAACTCAGGGATTACGCTAGATGACATTATATAATTCTATGTACTTTTACTGCTCCCTCCGAATAATTCTTAATATTTTCAAATTTATACAAAAGAATTTACTGAATTAACATTGCTTTCCATATTAATTTTTTTTTCCATCGATCTCTTACACATTATTTATTTGCTCTCTTCTTTCCCGTTTATCTTCTCAAAACGATTGGAGGCTGAGATTTTACTTTCAAGCTTCCGCTGGTTCCCCTCATGGTGATGATAGCTGTCCCTGTTTTAATTAATTCCAATCACCCTGCTCGGTCGAGCGAGAGAGAATATTTTATTTCTCTGGAAATATGGATCAGATCGTTTTGCTGCTTTCCAATTTGATTTGATGACTACTCCGATGTGAATATATTGATATCAATTTATCAATATCTATACGCTTTGGACCAAGTGTATTTCATTCCAAAGCAAACAATCGATTAATCATGTTCGTTTAACATTAATCAGGGAGCAAGTCAAGATTTAAAAGTGAAGGGATCCATACTTAAAAGTACAAATATTTTTAATAGGCAACAAATTTAGATTTTTTTTTAAATTTTTGTAAATTAATTATTTAGCTTTTAAATACCCCCTCCGGCCCCACCATCCCTCCCTATCACCGGAAATTAGCCTTCACATGTGAATGGCACAAGAGACAACCAGGCCCCAAAAACCTAAAAATACAACAGACAAGCGTCGGATCCATTTTCCTAGAATAGTGTGTGGGCTCCATCTTCGGATCGCATCCAAGGTGGATATGTTTAATGGGTGAAAACGAAATTAAGGTTTTAAAAATAATTTTAAAATATACAAAATAAATATATAAAAAGATTTTACCTCAATTTACATAAAATATTTTTTTTGAAGATGTTTTTGTTATAATCCAAACACCCTAGTTCGGGGAAAGAGGAAGAAGTGGGAGACACGATGAAGTCACCGGAGAGAACACAATGGCGCATGAAGCCGTGGACATTGTAGAGGTGGATATGAAAGTAATAGACAACATGATTTATACGATGATAATGACTCTGTTTGGTAAAGCAGTGGAAATCTCCTATAAACACATTTCACATAAGTCGAGATAAAATTCTTTTCACATACTTGTTTCGTATTCTGTAAATTACTATTAAAAAACTACTTATGAACTGTTTCAAATGAGTTCATAAGCTGTTAATTTTAACTTATAGCTTATTGTAATTTTTCATTCGTCCAACCAAACAACATTTAAATTTCTAATTGGACTTTTGTCCAATTTAAGATACTTTTAACCCCCTGAAAAGCCCAACCAAACAGGCACAGTAGGAGGGTTGTATCTCTTCTCCTTAATCTAAACGCTACTCAATAACTAAAATTCATTTTCCTGTCATTTTATTGCGGTCGTGGAAGTGTAACGTTCTTATAAATTTTTGAAAAAATTGTAATAAGATCACACTTAAAAAAATTAAACACAAAAAATCCCTTAAAATCATCAAATTAATCTGAAGTCTCAAAAATTCATTTATTTAACTACTAAACTGTCCCTTTTTTAAAAAAAAAATATGCATTGATAATTAAAAGAGCAGTCGTTAACAATTTAAAGCGTAATGATTAACAACTATCGCAACAAGTAATAGTGATAATTGTTAATCGTTACGCCTTAAATTGTTGACAAGAACTCTTTTAATTGTCAATCTATACTTAAAAATAAATAAATAAAGGCATGTCAGTAATTAAACAAATAGAATCTCTTGTAATGAGATTTCTTGAAACTCTATATTAATTTGATATTTTAAGGAATTTTTTTGTATTTAATTGTTGATGAGATTTTGTTGCCTAAATTTTTTTCTGTTTTTCCCCATCAAACATTTCATTCTTTTTTACTTTTAAATATTCTATGATATGTACAAGTCTTTGGAAGAAGGACACAGCTAATGCTTTGCATCTTTGGCGGCTCACGCTATCTCTCCACTTGGCTTCCTGTGGGGTGGCCCTTCCAATCAGAATTCTACAGTTGGGCAAGCTCTCGGTAAAAACACTATTATAACGAGTACTAAACCTTTAGGAAAAGTGGAAAACAATATCTCAAAAGCTAATCATTGGAGTTGCTCAAGAGCACAAAGCCTTATAAAATTTTTAGGAAAAATTTCCATTAAGGAAGCAGTTAAGAATTTATTTCAAATAGCTTTCAAAATATTCTGAAATGTCACTATAGGACCAAAAGACCAAATTGAAATTAAAATTAAGAGTAAAATTACAATAATACTCTTATTTTATTTTTTAAAAAAATATTAATGGTCATCAGAGTTCCGCCCACCGGCGATCAGGTGGCCGCCGCTAGAGCTGGTAAAACGGGCCAACCCACGGCGGGTTGTGGGTTATGCGGTGCGGGCTCAAAAGGCCCGTTTTCTGGCGGGTTGGCATTTTGCCAACCCTAACCCGCCAAGGTGGGTTGGCGGGCCAACCCACCAACCCGCCAGAATTTTTATTTTTTTTCTTGTCTTTTTTTTTTTTAATTTTTCTTATTTTTTTAAATGTTAGCAGTTATATATAATACAAAATAAAAATACTAGAAATGATATAAAATATTATAAGCATCCAAATAAAAATTACAACACAATAAAATACAAATAGTATATGATTGTCCAATTTTCCAACATGATAATATACAAGTTCACACATTTTTTTTCAATGAAACCAATGAGCAATACTGAATAATCTTCTTTATCTAATTATTTCTAATGACAATAAAGTTTGAAGTAAAAATTTGCTTTACTTTTGCCTTTGTTATCTATTTTTTTTATATAAAAAAATAGGTGGGTTAACCCGCGGGTTGGCCCGCGGGTTGACGGGCCAACCCACCGCGGGTTAGGGTTATGGCGGTGCGGGTTATGTTTTTCAAGGTAGTGGCGGGTTGGCTTTTGGCCAACCCTAACCCGCCATTTTTGACGGGTTGGCGGGTTGGACCCGCGGGTTCAACCCATATTACCGGCTCTAGCCGCCGCAGAAGGTTGGAGCTCCAGTGGCCACTACTGTAGCTTAGGTGGTTGGAAGATTTTTTTTTTAAAAAAATAATATGACTAAGAGAAGGTTTGAACTTATGACCTCTTGGCATACCAAAAGTGATGTGACCACCAAACGAATCAAACCATTTAGTCATATGATACAAATAAAAATATATATAACAAAATAAACACAAGTGTCCAAGTGTAAGTAAACAAGTGAAATTCAGTAATTTACAACTAAATTTTGGTAATTTACAAATAACATAATGGAATTCATAATCCCAAATACAAGTGTTTAAGTGTAAATGAGCAAATGAAATTTGAAGGTTTACAACAAAAGTTTATGGATTTACAACCCAAATTCGTTTATTCACAAGAAATACAAGAAAATTCACAACCCAAAATATAAGTGTTTAAGTGTAAATGAATAAGTAAAATTCAGCTATTTACAACATAAATTTAGTAATTCTTAAGAAATATAAACATTACAAAAATAATAAGAGAATTCACAACTTCAAATATAAGTATTCATGTTTCTTATGAATCGTTGAATTTGGGTTGTCAATATCTTAATTATTGTTGTAAATCGCTAAATTTCACTTGTTCATTCGCACTCAAACATTTACATTTTGGGTTGTGAATTCTCTTTTGGTTTTTGTGAATCGCCAAATTTGGATTATAAATTCATGAAATTTTATTATAAATTTCAAATTTTACTAGCTCATTTACACTTAAACACTTGCATTTAGGGTTGTAAATTTCATTATGTTATTTGTAAATCACCAAATTTTTGTTATAAATTGATGAATTTTACTTGTAAATTGTCAAATTTTACTTGTTCATTTACACTTGAACATTTGTATTTGTTTTGTTATATATATATATATATATTATTTGTATCATATAACTAAATGGTTTAGTTGGCTTGGTAGTCACATCATTTTTTGTGAGTAAAAGGGTTATGAGTTTAAACCTTCCCTTAGTTACCTTTTTTTTTTTTTAAAAAAATAAAATCTTCTAGCCATTGTAGCTACAGTAGCGGCCATCGGAACTCTAACCTCCGTTTGCAGCCACTTGAGTGCTAATGGCTGGAATTCTTGCGGCCATTGATATTTCTTTATTTTAAAAATAAAAATAAGGGGTATTATTGTAATTTATTTTTAATTTTAATTTCAGTTTGGTTTTTTGATCTTATCGTGATATTTAAGAATGTTTTGAGGATTGTTTGAAATAAATTCTCAATTACTATCCTTAATAAAAAATTTCCCAACTTTCTATCGTAATCTTCTTAACGTGAGACACGTGACATATGCTGGAGGCATATTCTCTCTCTCTTTCCAAAGTATATGTATCCTCTTTTATTACTATTCAGTATTAAATATGGGTATCTTTTTTAATTAATATTCTAATCTTAATTTGTTATATTATGATTTATGAGAGACTAACTCTTTTGACTAAACCCAACTCCCGTTGATATATTCTCTTTCACTTAGTATTCATGTTACTCAAATAACATAATTTAATTGTTCCTTGTCTGTGAATTAGTTATTTAAAGTTAGTAATAAAAATAAAAGGGTATCTCAAAAGCTAATCATGGGAGCAGTTGAAGAGCGCAAATCCTTGTAAAATTT